TTTAATTATTATAATGTTGTGAATGCTAAGAACCACTGGTTACTTTATATGTAGAATATAATATGTTATTAGTATTAGTGATATTGTACACCACCTCCGGCCAAAACGGAATGTGCTGAGCAAACCCTTTCGGCCCGGACGGAGAACGACTCGCTGTGTATAGCACAAGCGAGTCAGTCTTGGTTTAAAAGCAGAGCCTTATGATTCGCAGAACCTCACATAACATTCGGAACATTTTATATTAATTATATTAATTTAGAAGCATCTGCCGTTATTAATGACATCCAATAAAGTTAATCTAGTTCTTTTCAATTTGTGTTGTGACTATATTTATTTGTGACTGAACACCTAAGTGCGTTCATAAAAATAATAACAAACGAATTTTTTAGGTAATAAAGTTAATAATAATTGCAAAGAAGTGGAAATAAATCTATTAGGACTAACTGCACATTATAACTTACACATAATATATCGTCGGGCATTATGATTCCAAATCGGAATTTGAATATGCCATAGTGAAATTTACTATCACACACAAGTTGGAATATCCTCCATGTTAAATTGATATTCATACTGCTATTTCTAATTACATTTAAAAATACAGTCGAGTCTCGATAACTTGAATGTCAAGGGACATAAAAATAAATTCGACTTATGTATTTTTCGAGTTAGACATTATTTTTTTTTAAATTTATATTTTAATTAAAATAAATTTAATTTAAATTTATTTTTTAAAAGAATTGTAACTCTTTCTTTACTGTTTTTTCCCCCTGCACAGTTCTCTCCTTTTAAAATAAATGTTTGACTCGGTAAACATTTATAAAATAAACCTGTTTCGTCAAAATTATAAACGTCATCGGGGGAATATTGATTTATAATTGGTAGGTATTTTACTAACCAGTCAGAACATATTGATTGGTCAACAAGCGTTTTCACCACATATTTTACGAAAAACGACGTTATTCCTAATTTTTCCAGTTGCTTAACCAACCTTGACTAGCTTTAAATTGTTTATGGCCGAGTTTAGTAGCAAAAAATTCGGCCTTCTCCTTTAAAATTGGTCCATTTAATAGAATGTTTAAATCTCTACATTGAATAAACCAATTGAGTAAACTAACCTCTATATCGGGATACTCACTAATTTTCACTCTTTTCGTGGACCCTTTATTAGTTTTGTATTTTTGTAAAATATCGTCTTTATTTTTCAGAATAGTTGAAAGTGTACTGGGTGGAATATTAAATTGCTTGGCAATTTCATTTTTCTGTTTACCACTTTTTGTCACCTCACTTATAATGTTCACTTTTTCAGCAATTGTTAATGTAACCAATTTACGTTTAAGAGACATAACTACAAATTGTACACGCTACACAGTGAAGATATACGACAACTGACGATTATTTTACAGCACAGTTGTACATAGGATAATTTCATTTGTACATTTGTGATTGTAAACCGGTTATTCTAACGATAAAATGTAAGAAATGACTTCGAGTTATCTATGCTCAACTATTTTTATATTTGACTTATCGCGACAAATATTGCATTGAGTGTATAGGAATTTCCTAGGGACAAAAAAAAATTCGAGTTATCGAGACTCGACTTTACCAATATTTTGGTAACAGTGAAAAATAAAAATATTGCTTCACATATTTTATTTAAATATGACTACAAAATAAATTAAGTAAGTATAAATTTGTTTAACTATAATATTATTTAATTATTATAATGACAAATAAATTGTTTAGGTGTAATAAAGTTAATAATTGCAAGAAGTAGAAAAAAATCTATTTGGACAACTAACTGCTCATTACCAATGGTATTTATTGAAAACTAAAAATGTTGCTAGTGTTAATGTTTTATAATTTGTATGTCATTTTATAATTAATTTAAGTGAGGTGACAACATCAATCATTACAACTTAAAAGATAAATGTATGTTGTGTTTAATACACATACCTACACATATTGTGCAAATTGCGTAAAGCAAATAAAAAATTTAAAAAATAGTAAGTATGTATGTGATTAGTTATTATCATACATATATAAATTACTAATAAGTAATTGTGAAATATAAATTCTTTCGGTCAATGATTGGTGTTGTCATTAAATAGTAATTTGTACTAAATTCGAGTTAAAATATTATTAACAGCGTTTTAAAAATTTTACTTTTGTTTTAAGTCTGGGGTTATTGAAAAGTTAGTTTCAATTTTTTGAATACATGTTATATCTTTACTCATATTTTGCAAAACTGCAAAACAAAAATTTTGATTTAACTGTATCGTCATTTTGGAATAGATTTTAAAAATGGCTTATAAATGAAAGTAAAATTTTATAATGGTTCATAACATTAACAGTGGCGCTGAAGTCCTAAAATTTAGTTAAGCGAAAAATATTTTAAAAGGCAACAATATCTAAATATCAGCCTTAATATTGTACTTGTAAGGGGGGGAGTATAGTTTACTCTTACCACAAAACAAAATATTGATGTTAAATTTTATGTAATTTTGAATTTTAACTACACATTTTATGTACTCCTCATACAAACCAACACATCCAAAAGACGAGTTTTTCTCAATTATTAATACAGAAACTTATCTTTTTTGAAACAGGATTAAGATCATTAACACGCACAAAATATAAATCATTATTTTTACGCACTAACCAATCACCCATTTAAGTTAAAATAGCTAGTTGAATATTTATTATAGGGTTCGGCGTCACTGAAAATTGTTATAAAATGTGGGACAATTGGTCATGAATAAAATTAGTTCAGAGCCTTTACCACGACTATCGGGATTTGACTTTCCCAAGGGTGACAATTTTTCAAACGTGTAACTTAAAAATCTTTGAGTAATATTTAATGTTTTTAAAAGATACTGCTGGCATATCTTTTCTTTTCTTCCATTTAGAGTAAAATAATAAAACCTTGTTATTTTACGCGAATTTGACGTTTGTACACGTTTCCTTTTTATTTCTGATTCTTCCATGCAACTTATCAAATAGTCACGTCTTCCATTTCGATCACTTATATTCCAGTATTCCTCAAAAATTATTTCCCTTTCGTCTTCAGTAAATTTATTTTTACAATTGTTCTGGCATTTTGTTTTTGAACATGGGTTAGGCTGAACACTTTTTCCTTTACCACTTTGTTTTTCATTTTTCTTATTTATCTTTTTGTTACCAAAATTATTGAAGTTGAAAATCGAAGCATTGTTTCGACTACTTTTCGTGTACACAGGCACAAATAAAATGTAAAATTTAAATTTAAAAACTACCATCATTGTAAAATCATTACAATATATCATTATAATCATTACAATGTAATTTAACGCTCCGCTCAGAATCTAAATTAAAATCTAAATTACCTATGTAAAATTAAAACATCATAACATTTTGAAGTCAAGATTATAAAATAATAATATTATTATACCATGTTTAATTAAATTAACATTTAATCCATTGATAGTATATACGTTGACGTACGATCCACGTTATTCATATAAATATTTTCGAATATGAATCTGATATACTGATTCAATTAACTATATTAATAACTATATTTAAATAACGTGTCTATAAATATTTATAAGAATAAATGATAGAGCTGTTCCTTTCCGAATAACTATTATTAGACAACGTCGACATACATATAAAGTGAGCATCACGCTAACATAGTAAATACCCGTGTCCCGTGCAATATTTTTATCACCACCTTTTATTTAGTTGGTCTAAAAATTATAGAATAAACTTTATGCTCTAACAAGAATTAAAATGTGATTAATCTAAAATATACATCGACAACTACGCCATTAGAACAAATGTCATGAAAATAATAAACAGGTAGTTTTGATTTATGCAGTTGTTTCTTAAAAGAATATAAGTCACAATATGTATAATAATGAATAGAAACACAAACACTGTTAAAGTAGGTACTAATGTAATGAATAATAAAATGCATAATAATAATATAACTTAAGTTGTTAATTAGGTATATTATTATGTTTATACATTTTAAAAAAGTAGATAAATATTCGAACTCAATAAGTTTATTTATACGTGGATTCATTTGGTACATCAAGTCTTCAGCTTCAAATACCATACTATATTTATAAGTATGCATTGAAAACAATAGGTATTTTATGGTGTAGATACTTACTACTTACCGAAAAATAGTTGAAACCCTTCGTGTGTTAAAAACGAATTAAATGACACAAACACTAATAGGTAATAATAAAATATTATCTTATGTGATCCACCATCCACGTTCTCTTCAACAAATTTGACGATTACTTTATTATTATCATCAATATAAACAATAATATAATAATATTATTATTTATTATCATAAATTATTTGGCGGTTTTAATCGTTATAATATACTACCTACCTCCAAAATATTATACAGCTGTCTTACATTATCTGTGATTATTATGATCAAATTGAACTAACCTAAAAATCGATATCACTTACCGCATTTTTTTTTCTTATCTATTACATACCACGCATTTGTTTATACAACAAAAATGCTGTAGGCGACAAATTAAACTGTTATAAGCGACAATATGGCGTATACATCATTATTTAAAAAAAAATTGGGCGTTTAACACAAAGTTATTATGTCGTTTACTGCTCATTCAATAAATAAGAATGTCACCTAAATCAAATGTTGTCGCTTACACAGCACTTTTTTCATACCTGTCGCTTACAGCATAAAGTTTGATCATTGATAACACGTTATAAAATAATGATATTGTGGGGTTCGAGTCGTTATCACGATCGAACACCTACGATTAAATAATAAACAGGTACGCGTATAACGTATAAGGTGCGCGATGCGCGGTTTATTTCAGAAAAACAATTACACTTTACAAAAGGCGAACAGATCGAGTCGATCGGTGCTCGGAGGTGAGCGGCTGGTCACGTGAGTCGTGGGCGCGCGGTGTCGTCGTAGGGTAAAAACCAAAGTCGTGCCTCGGGGTGCCGTGAGCGTACCAGTGGTAGCGGCGGCGTGCTTGCGGGCGTGCTGACGTGGTTTTTGGACGGGGCGACGAAACGCGGACACGTGCGTTATTGTGCGACGGTTTTATATCGTGTCGTGTACGTCGGTTGACGGTTACGGACGGAGAGGCCGTTGGCAGCCGCCCGACAATTCGCGGTCGCGAACGACGCGGAGGGCCGAGCGGTGCTGCCAACACTGGGAGCGCGACCGACATAGGGAGGGAGCATGTGGTGAAACACTGGTTCGCCACAATATCACTGCATGAAAACTATCTATGGATCCAATAGAAAGTCGTCTACAACGCTGGGTACCAAATGTCGCTTACAACAAAAGTGTCGCTTACAGCAAATAGCCTTTTAACCGACGATATGATGACGATCATATTCAATGACGTATATTTGGACAAATACGAATTCAAACTTTGTCGATTCTAGAACATGTAAACTAAAACGTGTATCGTTTGCTACCAATGTTATTTTTACTCTCTTCAAAAATATGTGATTCAAAAAAATTATGAATCAATGCAGTATTTTTCAAACTTTAGCAACGCATCCCGGTGCACAATGCCCGTTTTTCGATGGCAAAGTTGGAGTAATTTAACATTGACATTGTATAAAATGCCCACTTAGATTTGGGCAATGTAGGTCAAATATTGAATATATTAAAAATTAAATAAAATACTTAGTATTTTTTAATAATCATAAAAAAAAACTTGAAATACACGCTTCAAATATTAGTTGCCTTTTAATAGTTTTTATCCAGTATGGTATCTCTTACTGAAGAATTAATATTTTTATTTAAAAGTGGTTTAAGGGGCCTGCTCGCGATTTTTCAAATTTTCCGCAATTCTATAAAATTTGAAAATTAAATTTTATATTTTAGTTGCCACCTCAATTATAAGACTTTTCCACTAATCTACTACCCAATACCTATTTAGGGGGGGTTGATAGGGTGTATTATATCGGTCAAAACACAGTTTACAGGAAAAACTCTCACACCTCGTAGATTGGTCCGATTTCCGTAATTTTTTTTTTGTTAGATAGAGGAATATTTTTTACAGGGCGCATTGGACTTCGATTTTTGATTACGTCGCTAAAAACAAAAAATAATACAAAAACTAAAAAGTTGTAAAAATTGATTAAATTCAAACTTGTAACATGAGACTTAGAAAAATAATGTTGAAAATCCAAGTCCAATGCGCCCTGTAAGAAGTCTTCCTCTATCTAACAAAAAAAAAATTACGGAAATCGGACCAATCTACGAGGCGTGAGAGTTTTTCCTGTAAGGCATGTTTTTGAGCAAAAAGACAGGTCGCGTGCAGGCCCCTTAATGAATATTATTTATTAT